ATCCATTAATGCTTTGCGAGCTCTGCATCATCTGAGGTAGCTCTGTCAAAACATGCTGATGAAAACTACTGTGATCCCTTGAGACAGCGTCATTGTTTGTGATGTCTGTGTGCTGCAGCCGTTAGCAATTGCTGCAAAAAGTTAAGAGTAACTGCAGAACTTTCCCCATAGGATGAAGAACCAAAAAGATGGATTTTTTTCAGCAGGTATGACTGTTGTGTGTGGTTGTGGTTTTTTTATTCAGGATAACAAAATGCTAAACATTGGCAGTTCATCAAAATAGCCTAATCAGTTATTGTAAATGTAGCTTATATCAAAGTATAGTTTACCCTCCTTGTTGAGATTCTAGTACCTGTATCTCAGTTGTCACCACTCTGCCTTTATATAATAGTAAAGATAGTAGGGACTTCAGTTTTTGATGAAAAGGATCTGGATTCAAAGACAATGAAATACTACATTTTTAAAGCCATTATTAGCATGTTGCTCCTTGTTTTTTAAGGAGAAAATTATTTAAATTTCAGTCTTCTTTAGGTCGAGCTATAGAAGATTTGACTTACTTTAGTCCTTACTTGATTTTTCAAGGAGTCTTGTTTCAGAATTAGAGTGGAACAGTGGGTCTTTTGTCTTGTGCAGGAAGAACAATTGCAGATCAAAACTTCTTTCTTCTGTCCCCCAAACCAGTTTGGAGCAACTTCCAAAGGCATATCTTGTAAGCAGTGTAAGTGCATGTGAGTGTGCGTGCATGTGTGTGAAGATTACGACATTTGATTAGGATTTGAAAGGCTGTTTTTTCCATTGATGAAGAAGATACTTATATATTGGTATAAGATATGCAACCTTCATCTCTAATGGAAGCACTGTCAGAATTTTTATTATCTTGGTTTCTTCTTTTCACAGAAAATGCAGGCTGTTCCTTTGCCATTTCAATGTACAATAATTGAAAGTCTCTCCCGTTATCTTAGAAATTCAAAAAGTCCTCTTTATTGTTGCCATTAAGAATGGAATTGCCAACTGTGTTTTTCATAGATCTATTAAACGGAAGTATGGTTGATGAAGTTGAAAATTTCTGACATTACTCTTACAAAGAAGTCAGCTGTCCAAGGTTTTCACTCTTGAGTTTTTAACTTCTAACACAAGTCAAGCATGGCTGCTGTTAACTCTTAAGAAAGTTTTTCTTTTAAACTCCTCTGAAGCATCTCTGGGTTGGTATAGAGTATGATTCAGTAACACTAGTTACATTAGAGGATCTAAAAAAGTCTGATGCTTTTTGCAGTTTTTGACCTTTTTGGCATAAACCTTTCAGAGTAGGCATTAGATAACCTCTCATGGTGGTTACCTACCAAAACAGTTTTAATCACATGAATTTTTTTAGTCAGTGTTCTTATGCAGTTTAGAAGCCATTTTGATTACCTTTTGTACATTATTTCTTCAAGGGAAAAAAGCCATCCTGTAGGAATTTAGGTGTTTTATGAGCATACTGAAGTCATTTAGGGAATTTTAAAACTCTTGCATTTAGTTTGTATATGATTACACAGTCTTAAATTAAAATTCTCTTTATTTTGGAAGTGTGGATTACATTTGCATGAGGTAATTTCCGGTCTCTTAAAAGCTCAATGTTAATACAGCCAGGCTACCATAATTTAAGAAAATCAACTTTTTCACTGAGTTGGCTCAACACAACGCTAGTCTCTAACTGTGAACATAACCTCTGCATGAGAATATGGGCTTTTAAAACAATACTGACTGTACTGTACAATGAACTGTCGTAAATTTCTTTTGTCTACTTTTCCAGTTCAATGAAAAATCACTGAGCCAGTTTCCACCTTTATAGAGATTTTCAGGGAGTGTCCAGATGGCAGCTAAATAATTTAGTATTAAAAAACAAAAATTAAAATAACTACTTGTCATTTTGCATGGACATTCTTTCAGAAGAGACAGTGTCCTGTGAAAACCCTCTATTTATGTATTAACCACATTTGTTTTGATAAATTCTTACGTGTATCTTCCTCTCTCAAACTTGATTAAAAGATTTTCAAAGATCCTGATAGGCTCTTAGGTAAATACTTTCAAATGGGGGAAATCAATTTAGTGTTTGAGTTTCAAAAAATTGCATGGCAGTTGAGCTGTCACTTCTCCCATTAACTCAAGCACTGAACTGACATATTCGACTGCTAGGTCAAGCGTGTGGATGCCTTCCAACAAAAAGGGAAGAAATGTACAATGTTCTCACTTGGTTTTAGATTTCCTGAATTATGTGGTATTTTAGTCTTTTTAACATAGTTCCCGTTTGTTGTTATGGTATGGTATATTTATATTCAATACTCACAATGCTAATACAGTAAACATCTAGCTAGTTACAAATTTTAAGTTTATTTCTCCTTTTTGCTATCTAGAGCTCCAGGTATAGACAACCTTTGTCATTTTACACAAGTATTTGTTAAATTGTTTGTGGACCAAATTTCAGTAAGCATGTTAGTGAAGATTAGTGAGATTGTTTATTCTGTTTATTCTCAGAAAATGAATAAACTGTTACTCTTCTATAAAATAAATTGGGTTTTGCTAGCCCTGTGTGGTTTATTAACCATGATTAAAAATAGCTATATTAGGTTTAATTACCAGTTTCTTCTCTTCATAAAAATGCATAAGAATATAAATTACAAATGTAATTTTTTTTGTTTTGATATAGTAGTCCTTTGCAATGCAAAATTAATTCTGTTGCTGTTTGAGTTGGCTACTCTAACTGCAAATCCGTGTTTAGCTGTTGTAGTGAAATTTCTTTTCCCCTTTGCCCTACTCATCAACATAGTATTACCAAAACTCAACCTTTTAACAACTTTTTGTGGACTCATTCAGTGTAAATTAATTTTTGTAAATGTTTTAAAGAACTAATCAAGAAAAAAAAATCATGGCTTAATGTCAGCATGTTAGCTTAAAATGGTTGGAAGAAGAGGTAATTGTCTTTTTGATATCTTTATCTTCATTATTTTTTCTGGCATAACAAGCATCAGACTGTGGCTGGGGATTCTGTCATCTTCCTTCTCCTCCTCACGCGTGACAGAGCTTGCACTGCAGTCTTCTCTGTTAGCTTTCCTGTCAGCAAGGCTTGGTCGGGAGTTTTCTAGCTTTCTCCATTGTCGCTCTCACCACAGATTGTTACGCCTTACTTCTGCTGCTACAACTGTTTGTACAGCTATCTGCTAAAATGGTTTAGTGGGATCACTCTGTCTAAAAGCATGGTCCCACAGGTGGTTTTGCTGGAGTTGTGTGCAGGAATGGGTGACTAGGGGTGAAGCTTCAGTGCTGTTAAATTCAGCTGCTGCCAAGGAAATGGTGACATGTGGTCTTAAAACAGGTGATCCCATGGGTAGCAGTACTCATTACTTTCTAAATACACTTCCTCGCTTGGGTTCATGTGAAAAGAATGTTATATCACTGTTCTTTAAGTCCTGTTTATCATGACAACAACAGCTGTTTTGGTATCGTATTTACTTATAAAAAAATGTTCATTGTTGCTATCTGAAATTCTTAATATGCCTCATCTCAATATGGGCTCCCTCCGTGTGTAAAGGCTTCCTTGTATCCTTTGTTTAAATGTGTAAAGTGGTGGTGTGCTCAGTTGCCGTAGCCTCCAACTTGCAGAACTGAGGAATCAGGAACCTTTTTTTGCTAATGATTTGTCATTGAGAGTTCTAACTAACTTCGTGGCTAACATCCTGTTAAGGGGGGAGGTACGATTTCCTACATACTGACCAGATGTCAGCGTCCAACTTATCTATGTGGTACCTGCAGACTCAAAAGTTCCATGGCAAGAACTGAATAAGAACATGGTCACCATAAAATACAGAATTTCCTGAAGGAAATGCTCCTATTGCTTAATTTTAAGTGAATAATTTTTATATTGTAGTAGCATAGGTGGTTTTATAGCATGTTTTTTTTTGAAATAGCCCTTAAAACTTCATTTACTTTGGTAGCATTATTTTGGGATGGTGTAGGTTTTTTGTTGTGTGTGGGTTATTGGGTTTTTTCTTTTTTTTTTCTTTCCTGTCTGCATACACTGACAAATATTGTAAGATACTGTAGTTTAATTATACCTAATTTTCATTTCATATCAAAACCATTTAACAAATTCTGAAGTAATCCTTGGAGGATATAAAGATAATATGGGATTCTCTTTTCGTTTACACTGAATATATTCTCAGTAAAGCTATTAAAATTTAATTTAAGTTATTCAAAAAGCGCAATGCATGCGTTGAAGTGTTCCCCCATAAAAACATGAATAAACATGCAGGAATTCAAATAGCTTTGGTTTCTCACATACTGTCATTTTGTTAGGTAATGTAGTTCCACATTTTGTATGTTGCCACTAATGTTTTAATGGATTTTTACTTTTTGCAGTTTTGGCAGAATTAATTGAAAAGTTCGTGTCACATCTTTCTGAAAGCCGATCGGATTGTTATTTCAGCACGGGAAACTATAAAGGTCAGTTTCCTAATAATTTATTGCCATACAGCCTCTTCATATTTTAATTACTTTCCTTTTAAATGTATCTGTAGCATTTGGAGGTTTATTTAACATGTTCTTTAACAACTCAGAAATTCATTACTTAACTGTTGGGAAATAACCTCACCTTAGAGCAAAAGATGATGTGCTTGAGTAAACAGTACAGGTAATTATTGGTGATGGGCTTTCACATTTCTGCATGTGTAATGGAAAGATGGAGATGCAGAACAGGTGGGGGTATGATTCAGTATTTGTTGACACCTATTATAGAATGATTTGCAAAGCTGGTGGCATAAACATTGTAAGATGGTGTAAGCAATCTGGCTCACCTTTTGAAAGCCTCGTAATATATAATCAACTCAAAGGTATGCAATTTATATTTCATTAAAAGATATGTATTAAAGAACTACTATTGTTGACAGAGTAATCTGAGTGTTAGTTTTGTATAGATGTTGTGCTTACAGCCAAGCATAAAGGATGAATGATAAAGTTAATTTATTCTGAGTGTAAAGTAATACATTTTAATATTTTGAAGAATTTGCAAAATTCAATTTAGAAGCATTGTTAATATCTGCCAGAAAATGCGCTTTCATTCTTTACTATCTGTCCAGGACTTTTCTCTTAGGTTGTAGTTCAGTCATTTAGAGCACTTATTCTGCCACTAATTCTGGAGAACCAAGCCTGCTTTGTGGAGAGTCTGTTATTTATATTGATATTTTATTCTCACATCCATAGGATGCAAGTGTAGTGTCCCTGGAGACTTCAGACTTGCCTTTGAAATTTCAAAGCATAAAACCTTTTTAGTAATTTAGCAGATCTCTTTCTTTTATGTAGTGGCCTTTACCTTCTGAAAGCATGCTAACAGAGTACTCTTAATTTTATTTGAGAAACTCTCTCTTTACTTAATGAAGAGACTTGCTGAAGTGACAGTTCATTCTGTCACTATTTTATTTTTCCTTAGAAGATCCGTTTTTTGTTGTCCTGCATTACTTTGTCACTTACCTTTCAACTTCTCTGGAGGCATAATGAGCAACAAAGATCTTTTCATGGACTCATAAGACTTGCTGTTTACATATTTCTGACATTTCCCCATTCAAATGATGATTTTGGTGGTTAAAAGCCCATATAGTGTCTTCATGATGTAAATGATTTATTTGAAATCTAGACTGCTCCTCTTGCTCCTCTCTGTACATCTTTCTTTTTCGGTCACAGTTCGAAGTATCACACTTTCTGCAATGATATGGAAGGCCCAGGAGTAGTTTTTCTTTTCTGTCATGTGGAATTCCTATCTCACATATCTTTGGAGAACAGTATAGCACATTTTCAAGGTTATCTTAGTGTTTTCTGTTAGAAAAACAGGGAAACCCGCTTGGTTTGAAGAAGGCAAAAACTAACTAGAGGAGGAACCACCATCTAACTGTGCACCCTCCTTGCCCAGCAGAGACAGCATCCTACTGTTTCTTAATCATAACAGCTAAGTGCTTTCATCCAGTGTGGAAGAACTCTAATGAAGGGAAGCAGTAGTCCATACTCTGTTCATTTAGGTGTCGCGTACCTCAGTTTCAATCCGCTCTTCTCAACCTTTTGTTCAAAGCTAGGATTTAAAACACATTCAGGAAGGTTGAACCTGGATCTTCTATGTTATTGGTGTGTGATTTCACCATGAACCATTGATTAGGTGAAGGTGGCAACAACACTACATTATTTATCTAAAATGTAATGCTAACTTTGAAGAAACACTAGGTTTGAAAATCATGTGAAGATTCCATGCATTACGTTATTTTTTTAGAATGGAAAATCCCAAAGAATAGGTACAGGAACAAAACAAAGATAATATACTAAAAGCCTCAATTCTTGGTTTTCTTGAGTTTGACAGATTTTTTTTTTTTTTCTGTGATAAAACAACCCACCCAGTCTGTATGACACTCCTTTTTGTATTTCTGAATATTTTTTTCATTCAGTCTTATACAGGCATTATTGGACATTAAGTCTGGATAACTTTGCCTGTTCGGTTCTCAAATAAAAGTTCCAAAATTTGAAGGGTTAGCTGATGAACAATTTTCATTTGCAAATGCTTTTGATATTCCATGTGTTTTAGTGAAGACAAGCTTGGAAATGGAAGAGTGACAAGCCTTCTCAAGGATAGTCAGTAGTCTGGTGGTAAGAAACTGATCTGAAATGTAGGCAAGGGGCTGGTGTTGTCTTACAGCTTTTTTTCCTTGTCAGCAACACCATTATCACAGACGCTTTTTGTGAAGAGTTCTCCAGACCAGGAAAGTGTGTTGCTCAGGCAAACAGCACGTGTTTCATCAAGGGTTTAAGTTTTATAGGAAAATAGTTACTAAAATTTCATAGCACCTGTTTCAAACACATGTAGCAGTGAGTGAAACCGGTTTAGACCAATAAATTCATGCTGATTGACATGAAAGTGAAACAAAAGTCTGGCTCTACATTTAAATCTATGATTGTACTCCACTCTGGAACAATAAAAGGGCTTGATTGTATTTATGCTCATTTCAGGTTCTTTTTTACATCATAAAACATACAGGGTAGCATTCCTGTGAAGACAGGGAATGCACTTTGAGAACCCAAGTCTGTATTATGCTTCCTGTGTTTTTACAGAAGGAACAAACCAAACATGCTCAAATCTTTGTAGAATCATAGAATCATGGAATCGTGGTTGAAAGAGACTTTTGAGATCATGGAGTCCAACCGTCAACCTTACACTGCCACGTTACCACTAAACCGTGACCCTCAGCACCACATCTACACGTCTTTTAAATACCTCCAGGGATGGCGATTCCACCACTTCCCTGGGCAGCCTGTTCCAATACTTGACAACCCTTTCTGTAAAAAAGTTTTTCCTAATATCCAATCTAAACCTCCCCTGGCGCAACTTGAGGCCGTTTCCTCTTGTCCTGTCACTTGTTATGTGGGAGAAGAGACCAACTCCCACCTCGCTACAACCTCCTTGTTGGTAGTTGTAGAGAGTGATAAGGTCTCTGCTCAGCCTCCTTTTCTCCACACTAAACAACCCCAGTTTCTTCCGCTGCTCCTCGTAAGACTTGTTCTCTAGAATCTTCACCAGCTTTGTTGCCCTTCTCTGGACATGCTCCAGCACCTCAATGTCTTTCTTGTAGTGGGGGGGGAGGGGGGGGTGCAAAACTGAACACAGTATTTGAGGTGCGGTGTCACCAGTGCCGAGTACAGGGGAATGATCACTTCCCTAGTCCTTCTGGGGATCTTATTTGCTTAATATTTTTATTTACTTAAAATTAGGTTCCTCCTTCTCTAACAGATTGAATAATGATTGATCAGATCTGTATACATTTCCCAGGATTGTTTGCTGATGTGTATGAAGGGTTGGAATTTCTCCAAGGAGAACACTTAATTATTGAATACCGTGTTATTTCAGAGTATCTTTTCCATGTACACATGTGTAAGTGCTATCTAAGCTAAATCCTAAAACTGCAGTTGCAGTAGAGACATTTTTCTGAATTAGTAAAGCTAATGAGTTATTTATTACAAGGTAAACTGTATTCCAGATGCATCTTTCCAGCTGCACATCTAAGTAAGCCAAACATGCACTTGGCAATTTCGTGCATTCCCTTGAATAAATTTGGGTCTGAGGAACTGAAAACCAGTTTCTAACAGTTGTTTAATTTTAATGAAGAGAAGACACAATTTTCATGAAGGTGAATTCAGTACAATGCAGAGATATTCAGTGTTTATCATTTTTCTTGAAATGAGAAATTGAGTATCTTAAAAAATGACAGCTTTCTAAGCCCGTAGGTAGTTGTAATTAGAATAACACAGTCATCCATCTGCTGTGGAATCCCTTGGGATTTCAGTCTATTATAAAATTTGCAAATATGGAAAAATCAAATTAGTTTGGGTTGTTATCATTTTCAAGATAAGAGAGAAGGCAAAATATCTGATCAACCACTATACAGTTGCAGTGTTTAATTATAAACAGTAACACAAATCTTACTTGAAGTTTACTTTCTGCTAGCAGCAATGATACTGCTGTTATGTGGATTCAGATGAGTAAAATAACATATAATGTGTATGTTAAATGTTAATGAACTGTCAGTCCTCTTTCCCAGAATTATTACTTTCTAGTTCGCTTTTAGTTTTCTTCTTAAAAAAAACATAACCATCGAAAACCAAATCATTGATGTCTAGCTGTAACAGGCAATAGGATGGCAAGAAACTGAAATTTGCTATAGTAGTAAAATAGGCATTATTCACTAGGGGTATGAAATTCCTGAAACAGCCACTTGCTCTTCCTATTGTTAGTAAATTCCGGTTCATTGCAACATAAATGCTTTGTGGAAACGTATTAGTTTTCTCAAGGTTCCAACAAACCCATTTCTGAAAGAATTCCATTTAGAGAGTCATTTAATGTATTAGTATCCGGACTTCTTAATTATCTCCACTGTGTGTTGCAGACTGTCCAAACTTGGGAATACTACAACCTTTCAGGATTAACTGGTTTTTTTGGTAGCTCTGGTTGTGCAGATGACCTCACAGTTGAGTTCTGCAGTTCCACTGTCTCTGAAAGAGCTCTGCCATGTACTGCCAAAGGGACAGAACGTCAGGGATTTCACGTCTTGGCCATAAACTCAAATGTCACGGTGTGTTCCTTCTCTGGACGAGGCTTAGTTCTCTGGCTGAACAAAATCTCATAGGAGCTTTCTACTATTTAATGAGCTCTTAATCTTTTAAGGGTCAGGTGGATTGCGTAATGAACTGAGAAATTTTAAGAACACCAATGGGAAGCTATCGGTATAGAGCTGATCAGAAGGAGCAGCAAATGAGAAATACAGGCCCACAACCCCAAACTGAGCTGAAAAGGAAGGAGAAAGAAAGGCATCCTCCCCTTCTTCCTGCATCATTTGATGAATGCACTTCTTTAAGGATGAATGCACTCCTTTAAGGATTTAAAGTCGCTGTTAGCAAAAAGCATTTTGCCCT